CTTTTGTTTTTTAAACGTACCATTTCATAGTAAGCTTACCTTCGAAAATATAGACATGAAAAGCTAAAAAGAATGCTATATCATGTCATATAATTCACACTTCTTTTGCTCTCTAGGTATATTGCGAATGTCATCTAGTAGAAAAGATTTAGCGAGCTGCGGTTTCGGAGCTTAAAGTATGGCGCAACTTTCTATGAGAAACTAAACTGTAAAACGTTTCCTAAAGATAGTATATCTCCAGGTTTTGAACAAAATTAGATTACCAGTTATAAGTTTTTATAGATATTTACATGTCTCGATGTGGATTGATTGGCTAAAGCGATGTCTACTCATTAACACAAACTTGATTTCTCCATCATCATGGTTTACACGTTACATCAGTTTTTTCTCGAAGTCCAATGCCTAGTATACGGTAACCTTGGAAATGAGTGGTAACATACGTTTTCGATCATCCTGAATCTCGTGGTAATGTATGTTCTCCGAAAAAAAGTGAGAAAACCTGATAGACATGCTATCTAAGGAAAACGTCCTAATATTAGCTATTAGTGTACAGCACTAAAAAATTCATATCTCGTTCAAAATACAACTAAACCACTTGAGAAGCACACAAAATACTTTGCCATTCTTGATTTGCATGTTGACAGGACTAAAAAAGTAAAAACTTTTGTTTCACTGTTGCTGATATTTTTAACCTTTTTTTAACAAAACCGTTCAAAGCAAGGTATGAATTTTGAGGTCTTTCAGTGTTCGAAGTATTCTTCTCAAAGTCTAATATCGTGCTTGAATCATGATAGATATAGATGTTAGAGTTTACGTGTCAGCACATTGTGAACAGTAGGCTGCATTGCAAGACCTATAGATATCTATGGAAACTTTTTGTTTTCTCGTCTTGCAAAGATTCTGAGTTTCACCATCTTCAGGAAAGAAAAATTTGAAATTTGAAATTTGAAATTAGCCCTCTGAGGAAAGATGCATCAAACTCTATGTTAGAAAATGCTAAAAATCTACTTTGTACTTTCTAACGGCATTCAAAAAAATACCCACGATCTCTGCGTATTTTAAACGAATAATAGTTTCTTTGTGCGTAACTTTTCCTCTTTGCGATATGTACTATTTTCGTTGAAATATTAGGCCTCATAACGTTTACTTGTTGTCTGAAAAACATCGTTTAACAAATACTGATGACGCACAATATTTATTAATATTCTTGAGTGTAAAATACACGCATATACACATTGTCACTTATTGAAAGCTAAACAAATTTTCGAGTGACGAAGAATTTTTTAATACAACCACTATACCCACTTCAGTTTAACTTAGTGACCTTGAAACATTAGTGCCAAAAATTATTGAAGAATGTCATGGTTTGTTCCTTTTTCTTTTGCATTGAGCACAAATTAGTTATATTGTTAAAATAGCAACGAACAATTTTGAAGAGAAACAAACAATTGTTGTGTATCGAAGAAAAACGCATAGGAAAAATTGCACACTTGTTTCAAATGACACAATTAAATGCTCTTCTACAGAAGAAAGAGAAGAAGAAAAAAAATGTGAAAAATCGAGAATTTGTATTCTTTTTTTACTTGATCATCTTGATGGTGATAGTAGTAGTGAGATTTTTAAAGTCAAAGATTATACACACATATACATATTCTTTAACTTTTAAAAAAGAAAAAAAAATTCACATTTTCAAGAAGACTATACGTTCATTTGTATGACAAATATAAACAAAGCAAAGAGAAAAGAATAATGGAATAAAGCATTTTTTTCTCACAAAGAACACATGTGTTTCTTCTTCAGACATGATAATAAAATAAGATCGTCATTGTCAGAAAAGAATGAAGCATCGTGTCTCTATACGTGTATAGGTAAATTTCAAAAACTATGGCTACATCTAATGAAAGTATTGTCTCATATTAAAATAGAATTTTAGTAATAGATCTAAGATTTTTATTTCTAAGAGTATACGAAATAGGATAATGTTTAGAGTGATAAATAATTTCATTATTACATAGTTAAAACAAAAATATACAGTCGATATTGACAATAAATGATAGAGAAGGAGGCTTTTATTTTTCAGAAAAAGGTTTATTTTCTTTCCCCGAAGTTGAACATATTTTCTTTTGTTATTTCTTCTTCCTTAGTTTTATAAGACTTTTTAGTTGCTTAAAACTTTCATTGTATTCATTTTTTGTATTAAATTCTTCAGCATATGATGTTAATGGCTAATTCTTGCCTTATGTGATTAAAAAACGGTATCGTTTACGCATGTTTTGTGATGCAAGATGATTTTTTTACCTACTAGGTTATATTTTCATTTTATTATTCATAGGAATATATCAAAATTCTACTGAAAAGAAAAAAAAGAATATATCATCAGAGAGATGTATTTACCAATGAATGATTCTTTTCTCCCTGTTCGCCCATCTATACGTCTGAAGAGAACCTTGTTATCATCTAATCACGTTTTTCTCAGAACTGTGATACTTGTGTCTGGATATTGGAGAAGAACTTCTTATCTATATAGAATAACTTTTCTTTTTTTATCTGATCTGTCAAATGTCATCATCTTTCTTTTAGTTCTAGTTTCACTTTTTTATAAAAAAACAACAACAACAGAAACGGTCTCCGGATTAGTTTGTTCAGAAGAAAAAAAAGGAAAGGGAAGAAGAACAGCTCAGTTGCATAGAAACATTGTCATTGTATATATAATTTGTTAAATTACTCAAGTTTTATTTTTTAACGTGTATATGTATTGAACTCAAATTTGAAAAAAAGAAAAGAACAGAGAACAGAGCTAAACAAGAAAAAAAAATATTCTAAAAAATAGTAAAGAAAAGAACAAAAAAAAAAGAACATATCTAATGGAGAATAATTATGCAAATAATTCTCTATATATCATTAGATATGAATGACATTTTTGTTGTCGATAAACAGCATGCAACTACATCACTACTACTGTTATTATTTTTTCATTAGATTTGAATATTGCATCCGTTTGACAAAAAACACAACAGATTTAAATTCGATTTTACAGTGGGTGAAGGTCAATTTAAACAATGTCATGTAGCTTAATAGTAAAAAAACGGTAAACTAGTATACATGTTACTAATCCTGAGAAAACATCGTTGTTCCGTCGCTAAGTAGGTGTGAATCCTGCAACTCCCATAGTAATTTTGTTCTCTGCATTATTTTGTTTTTTTTTACTATAGATGCAATTTTGACTATCTCAAAAAATTTTTATATTTAATTCTCAAAAGATTTTATACTAATAACAATTAAATATATAAAAATAAAATCTCATAGATTTAGCATCAAATGAAATAATTATGAAGTATTTTCACAGGAGCAAAGTTACTAATAAGATGTTGATTCAATTTTTGTTTGTAATTAGAGAAAGTCATTCTGTTAATGTTGTAAAATAATGTTGCGTGTAAAAAAAACATGAAATTTTGTGAAAATTTACTAGTTTTCTGATGATCTTAAAAAACATGTAAAACTAGTCACAATATCAAAAAATGTAAGAAAATTTAGGGCTTTTTGAATGTTTTTTCTTCAGCAATAAAAGTCAATTGAATAACTGTAAATTATTTTTACTTTTAATACTTTTTTTCTCATTCAACAGAATCATTAGAAACGTTCGGTGGTGCCTATTTACACTTTACATTATGAGTATAAGGTTGAAGTTGTCGAATGCTTTTTTATTGATCTAAATTACCAGCAATCTTATTTATAAACAAAGACATGTGTATGTGTGTTCTGAATTTTTAGCAGAAAAATAAGATCCATTATGTAATGTGAGAAGACATCAGTCGGATAAATTTTTACACACCAGAAAATGTTTATTGGATTCGTTTACGCATCACGATTTATTTTGATAGGTTATTTGTGAGAAAACACGTATTTTGCATCAGTTGTTTTTTAAAAAGATTATATAACTAAATGTAGCCATTAGACGAAAATCAGTTTGGTTTAAACTATCTGTATTACTAAGAAAACTTAAAAAATGATACATTTTGAAGTCATATCAGTAGCTTAGAGAATAAGAGTATTTGATGAGAATAGGTAGATATAAAGAATGAGTAGATACCGGTATTAATCAATCCTCTTTGTTGATAATTTGATACTTTTAACCACAGATATATGATTCTGGATTTGGGAATAATTGGAAAATTAGTTCAGAAAAGGAAATAGTACTTCTTTTGCTTTTAGTTTAATCCAGTAAACTTCTATCCTAAAGACTATCATAGTCTTGCGAGAACTAACAAAGCATCCAGTACCGTCGCGTTGTCCTCGAATATAAATAAGGTTTCATGACAACTAGTACATTTTCTTTCGAATCATTCTTTTGAAAAGTTGATTTTTGCTGAAAAGTTTAAACAGGTCAAATATCCTTACAGGTTATAATGAATAATAAATTCAAAAATTTTTGAAAGAATAGGTAGGGGGCAATAGGTGCATAGCATGACGGATTATAATTATCGCCAGTCTTGAAAACGAACGTGATACTATAGATCCACAGAATAATTGAATTAGAGTAATCGAGTTTAGGAGTCCAACAGTTGCCAAGATTTTTGACTTTTTTTTTGAAAATTGCACTTTTTTATTGAGCTGTTCTGCCGCCAGGTTATATTAAGAAAATTGTTCATATAGCATTCACTCTCAAGCACCAGACTTTTCTCTTTCAAATCATGAAACAGTAAGAATTGACAGATTGAGACGATAAGTTAACCCTTTCATTATCTTAATCATTCTCGAAATGTATTTGTTTGTTGATTATCTGTTTATTCTTTATTCAAAACAAATTTCTGAAGACGATCTAAGTATAGAATCTAAACATACGTTGTCTGTTTGTAGATACATATATTTTTATTCTTCACTTTACCAGTAAATAACAAATTGTGAACATAATATTATTCATTGTCCTCATCGTTTTTAATTATTATGCGTTTACATTTATTATTATCAATATTTGACTATTTGTCATTATTATAAACACAATGATGATGACTGAAGTCGAACAACAGCAACCTCGTTCCAGTATTTTAGAACGTGGTCGTGCTATACGTTTATTAAGAAATGGTGATGCTTTCTTTCAAGGACGTTCATTTGTTATTAATCAACGAAAATATCCAAAGTTAGGAGTGTTTCTCGATGATGCATCACAGACAATGAGAGCAAATTTTGGTGCTGTTCGATGTATCTATACACCGAAAAATGGTACGAGAGTTAGAGATATATCCGATTTTGAAGATCATCATACCTATGTGGCTGGAGGTGCAGAAAAATTTAAGAAACTACAGTAAGTAATTTTTATATAATTCAAACTTACTAATACAAAAAAAACTTATGCACAAATAATGGGTCAATCGCTGACACAAGTTATATATCGTTTGCGACAGGTATACTTTGTTATTAATCTTCATTCAGAATAAATATGTGATGGTACTTTACATATCGACCAATCTAAATCTGAATCAGCGATATATAGAGCAGAAATCGGATGGAGTCTTTTTCCAAGTAAATAATTATTTTAAAAAAAACACTTTTATTCTTATACAATAGAATAAATTACCATACATCAAGCTCTTGTCAAACAGAAAAAATAAATAAAAATTCTTTATAAAAAATCTACCTGATGTTTCAATCTTTATTCTGATCTCTTTCTAAAGAAGAGACACTTTTTGATATAGTCTTACTTAAAACAATTCTCTGTAGACTGTATAATTCCTTATTCTAGGATTTTATTGATCTTTTTAGTTATCTTGATATTGCCGAAGGAAAACGACATGCCAAAGATCGAACATCGCCAAAAGTAAGTTATCATCAGTCATTCAATTCTTTTTGTTCAGTTAACTGATATAGTCATGAAAATATTCTTTTATGTGATGAAAACAGACATAATCACATTAGTATACAACTAGATTCATTTTGTATTTAAACAAATGAAAATATTTGCATAGTTTGAAATTGTTTTGTTATCAAAGATCTAGTGTTTACTTTTGTGATGTTAGGTACATTTGTTAAACATGAGAATAACTCGTAGTACTTAAAAATATTGTATTAGAACGATTTGAAGACGAAAAATATTTCAAAGATAAGACTAAATAAGTGTATATACTACACATGCACACATCTATATATATATATAATACCAGACAAATTTAAAAGGTTTAATATAACCGACACGTGAAAATACAATCATGTCATCGTTGAGCTATTTGGCAAATTTCAAGTTTGTAAAAGTATAATGCGGAGTTTAATGCATATGTTTCTAAAAGTTATTGTTTAAAAACTGTTGTCTATCTCATTGTAGTTACCACCTGTTCGTCGTATGGACGTTGAAGGAAGAGCGCTGAAATTGGCACGTTCAGAAAATGTTATTATTTAGTAAGTAAAACAGGATAAAAATAAAATTTTTTTTATAAAACATCAATTTCTTTTTTTTTGTCTCTAGTGTATATCGAAATGGTGATCCATTAACATTACCCTCGAAAATATTACTTGTAAAAAGTACTCTGACAAGTTGGGAATCAGTACTAGATGAAATAACACGAAAAGTTGCATTAAACAACACAGCTGTTCTAAAGTATGTTTAGTCTATTTATATATTAAACTTGATTATCTTAAAAATGTCATTTACAGATTATATGCCATGAATGGTGAACTAATAACATCAGCCCATCAATTAGAATATAATGGAATGTATGTTGCAGCTGGTAAAGAACGTTTTAAACGAATTGAGTATCCAGATCCAAAAACATTAAGCCCAAATTCTTCACCAAAAATGTCACGAAAATCGTAAGTTTCGCTTTTTTTGCACATCGAAAGTTCGCTGCTATAATCTTCTTTAAAATACGATCTTTTCAATCGATCTAAATCAGCTATAATATCTAAATTAACAGAGAAAAATAGTCAATATTTGTAATTAAAAAAAATTCATTATATATTTTGAGCAAATGCAATTCTAATCTATAGGTCCAACCATATATTTTATGGGTACGTAAGTTATAATAATTTCAAATTATGCCTCTATATTTACCGTGTGTTCAATAAAACAAATCAAGAAATTTCGGTTTCTTATTTTTATTTCTAACACAAAAAATGGGCTATATTAACAGATACGCACACAATTTTATACTAAAACATTATAGAGAGTAAAACCCACTTATTTTAGAGAATTGAAAAGGGTGAGGATACCCTTTCGACAAAAAAGAGTTGAAGAATATACTCAATACAATCCGATACCTGGAAGGTAATAAACCATCATACAACAACAACAATCTAAAAATGTTCTTTTTGCTCCTGTTAATTATTAAATTAATTTAATAATAATAATAACAATAATGATAATAATGCATCTGTCCAGCAACGATTGCTGCTCGAATGCATGGGACAAATATTTCTTAGTGTTACAGCATAGAAAGGTATTCTTCTTTTTTTACGATCATCTTTATTTAAATGAGGACGCTGCTATAACATAATTACCTTGTTTTCTGCTTTTCCATTCGTTGATTTAACCATAGCGATTTGAATTTCTTTAGTTATATAACTTTTAATTTCACTTTAGTTATTCTAATGGAACTAATACTCACACGACTACTGCAACATCCAACGCTGGAAGTATAGATGGTCCACATCAGTTAGTGTCAATTTAATACATCATTAATCGTAGTTCAATTTTCTTTTCTATTTTTAGTCGGCGTCCAGTACGAGAAGAATACGATTTTTTCAATAATAAACCGCAACAACATCGACGTGGACCACCACGTGAAATAGATTTAGATAAAGGTAGCATTATCGTCTCTATAGGAAAAAGAATGAATGTTTAAAAATAAGCTGATGATTTGATGAACATGGCAACATTAAAATATTGATTTTAGACGATGGTGGCCTTTATAAATCTAAAGGCGTTGTTAATCATCGAGAACGAATACGTGAAATAGAAGACACAAAAGATACAAAAGTTGATCTACCAGTGGATATGAAAGAAGTAGAAACAGTTGATGTAAGTCGTTTAACTTAAATAGCATAAAAAACTGCACGAATATTCTACTATTTTAGGATGAACAACTTTACGGCACCGTAAGCAATAGTTAATTTAAGCGACTAGTAACAAAAAAAAATTGAATCTTAAACATAATTTTTAGAAAACACCTCGTCATTATCGAAATGATGTACAAGAAGTTGTTCATCAGAAAAATCGGCAGGCACTTGCTGATGCTCATCGTTCACCCGCACGAACGGCTAAGGTATTTCAGTTTAAAATCACATTTGGTTTGTCGTATATTGTTTAGTTATTTAGAGTCCATCACCGACTTATGGGGATACATCTGATAATCAATATTCTAATCAAAATGGTCATCAACGTCATACGAATAACAAGGAAAATTATAGTTTACCACCATTGGATACTGGTTCTCATAACAATAGCGATAATGAGCATTCAGATAGAAGAGATTTAGTGTCTAGTGAAGCACAGGTATAAATACATATCTTTTACTAAAAAAAATCTTTTAAAATGATTAACTCTCTAACCAAGTGTGATACCGAGTGAGAATGGTGTATATATTCGTTCTTGCATCTACCAGCACAATAAGAGCTATTTATTATTTTATTTCATATTTTTTTCTGATAATAGTTAACAAAAAATGAAGCAGCAACGGTTATACAAGCCCATATCAGAGGGCATTTGACACGAAAACAACATAAACAAACTCCTACTACTACTACTAATAATAATAATAATAACAATAATAATGATAGTACGGTAATTATCTACTGTTCATGATTTTGCTTATGCTTGTCGTAGTTTTTTTATCTTTTAAAACATAAACACTAAAAAATCTATTAGTTTAAACGCTAAAGCTACAACATCTGTAATATGACAAACTTAATCGATGAATTATCATTAACTGAATAGTTAATGAATCTCAATAATGAAATTAATGAAAAAAAATAGCAGATACCTTGTCAGAGCTATCTATACATTTTATGTTAATTTTATTCTTCTCTATACTCCTAATGCAAATTGAGGAGTAGGCAACTTATTCTTATGATTTTGAAATGCGTCCACCTGCTTATATATAAATATCTTACACACATGCTATTTAGACAACTTATTATAGTTGAGCACACACATTAGACAAACCTATAGTTTAGAACAAAAATGTAAATATAAAAAAAGATTATTTTGTAACTCTCTTTTTTTCTTTATGCATCATCTATAGTTTTCTCAGTGGTAGTTTGAATGAAGATAGCAGAAACAGATTCTCATCTTAAAAACCTGTGAATGAAGATAGCTTGTTCATACATATCGAATTTCAGATATAATCAATGCTGCGCTAATTAAAATTGCTATAAAAAAATAATTTATTGAATTGTTTTATTGTTTATATTTTATGTGTAATTCTAGGTTCGTGAGTATGATGATTGAAAACAAAATTATTAGATAATAAAAGTCATATGAAATTAATAATTGGTAAAAACCATGGTTCAATGTGGAAGAAACTACACCATTCTCGTCAATAAAACAACATGCTATTCACCCGTCGTACCTCTTTTGCCTCTTTTTTTGTCTAATATATTTCTTCACTCGATGTAAATAGCAGCGTGCTTAATTCGTATGTGCAGAAAATAATATATAAAGATTGATTACTAAACAGAGAAAAGAAAATTGAGCAAATAAAATTAGTTGTTTTTTTTCTAAAAATTTCTGTTGTTGTGTTGTTATTTTCTTCTGTTTTTACTACTATACTTTATTTCGTTATTCTTAAGAAGAGAATGATGATTATATTCTTAATTGATCAACAATCATTTTGTATATCATTGATAGATTCCGAATTAAATTTGGAATAACTTCTCACATTCAATATAATTGAGTTGTCACTCATTTTCTTATCTGACGTCATGGAATATAGTTTATACTCTGTTTTCCGATGTCTGAATCTGACAAAGTTTCAATAACTGTATCGATATAAACGCTTTGATTCATGCGACGTAATTTACAAAGTAAAATAAGAAAAACGAGATGAATTTGAACTTTAATATAAGCGACTTAAAAACATTGCCAGTGCTATCCAATCTGTATAATTGTTCGTAAGAAAACGTTTCTCTAAATAGAATTCTTGTGTGTATGAGTGACAATATTATTTTTCTAATGAAAATTATCCAAATGATATAGTCAGAAGTTATTTGTAAGATCCGTGGTAACAATTGAATTTTTTTTTATCTCATTGTCAAATTAAAAAAAAAACTCAAAATTTACATATCAATTTTTCTTAGTAATAAAATAACTTCTAAAATTAGAATAACTTAATTTCTTTTTCTAGACAATGTTGTTTTTGCTGTTTTATTTCTCAATTGCATAGAGTCATCCATTGTTTTACCTAAACATAGCCACCAAAAGTTTTTTATTTGTAATCCTATCGCATACATATAAATTTATGTATATTGTTTTTTTTGAAAGACTTGTCCTTATATTTTGAACACAAAAAAAAAACGCCAGACTATCGCAAACAAGTGCGGATAATATCAAGAAAAGACAGAAAAACAACTGTTTAAAGGTTGTACATGAGTGAAAAAAACAAAATCAGAAAGCAACAATGAAAAAACTTGATAAACTAGCACAAAAATTACGGCAATTATTTGAGAAAAATAGATGGAAAAACAAGCCACGGAAGAGTAAATTTGCAAGTGAGCAAATTGAAAACAATAATTTTTAAAACGCACTGTTACATTATAGTTCAACTAAGAGAAAATGTTTGATTAATCCGTCAGTTTCTCTTAATAGAAAGTTGATTATTCAAATAAATGTTGTTAGTCTTTAAAAGAAAGAGTTGACATGCATAATAATTTATTGCTATTCATATATGCGTATAGAATAAAAATGAAGATGAAAAAATCTAACTTTCTAAATATTATCATTGCACTATGATGTAATAATGTTGATTTAAGTAAAACTGAGAAAGTTTGCTGCTCATATAGATATTTATGCTATATATCTGACTTTGACTAAGATTTCTATAACTGGAAAGAGAAAACAAAACACATTAGATTGTTCACAGTAATAAGTAACAAAACAAAAATATATACTGAAGAGATTATACCATAGTTATTAAACGTTAACAAATGTTCAGAGAAAGAGGAATCTCGTGAAAAATACAACACATAATTTCACAATTTATTTATGTATTTCAATAAAACAATTGAAATAAGAAACTATGAAAGCATCAGAAGATAAAACACACTGGATGAGATCAGTAATGAGTCGAAAGAAGAGATAATGGATGAATAATGCTTAATATTATGCGGTATACTCAAGCTCAATGAATTTGAATAAGTAACCAGACAATTGAATTACATGGAATATACATAACATCTCAATTATCAAGAAAATTGCAAAAAAAAAGAGAAAAAACTAAAATGAAAGACATTTTCTGCGATTGCTTGCTACTTTCAATTGGCATATGTGAAGAATGAAAGATAGTCATGTGAAAATAGAACCAAAGTATGGTTGCCATTTGTATAAGTGTAATGAGTACGTAGCATATATAAAGGAAATGAACCAAGACTTCAGATTTTCAGAAAAAAATTCAATTTCAAAATTTTAAAAAAGTCTTCATGTCTCGTGTTAGATACAGATTACAGAAGATTTTGACTCAAAAAACACGTTTAATTTCGCTATCAAGTTTAAATAACTCGAAACTGATAGTTCAAAACAGAGCTATGATATACACGAGAAAACATAGAGCAGATACATGCAAAATATCTAACAATAAAAATAATAGCAGAAAATGCATATTTTTCTTTTCATTAGAATATAGACACTTATGATCTAAAAGAAGTGAGAGGGACAGAGAAAACACACACTAGAAGAGAGCGTGATATCATCACTGTTTAACATAACCTAAATCATCAGCTAATTGGTTTATCAATCCAGGAGTTAATTTTAACAAATCATACGTGAATGTATCATGATCATCGTTTGTTGTGTCAACCAGTCCACTTTTTTTAAAAAAATGAACAAATTTTTCGAGTATAGCATCACGATTGACATCATGTGAAAACAAATTGTATATAAACGCTATTTTTGTTCTTAATGATTCATCTGTCAAAACTACTGGAAAACTATCATCTTCGTCATCAAACTCTTCATCATCATGTTGTTCGTCACTATCAATACCACCATCATCAGAATAGTGTAAATGGTCATTTTTCAATGGAGGTGGTGCTGTTTCAGCCTTAATAAATGTACATGATACTGTTTTGTGATTAATAGGATTATTATTTTCGCTGTCACTAATATTATCATCGTCTATATCCATTTCGACAACTTTATTATCATCTTCACTCTGAAATATATGATGCTGTTGTTCGGGTGATGTTAAATATGTTTGTTCAACAGAACGAGGTGGTTGTTGTCCTTCAGGTGTTACTGAATGACTAAAAGGACTTATCGATAAAAGTAATGGTGACGATGTTGATTCCATTTTTGATTGTGAATCCTCTTTTATTCTGATATCTTCTTGATGTTGATGTCGATATGGACTTTTTGACTTTGTACGACGATCATAATGTTGTCGACTATCATCTACACGTTGATAGTTGTTACTTCTATATGAATCACTTTTAGAATTACGACGGTGATCATTGAATGAACGACGAGATCTTTCATTGGACGGCGAACGACGAGATGATGAACGATAATAGCGAGTTCTTGACCGAGAGCGTTCTAAAGTAAATAAGTAAAGCATTGAATAATACATAGAACAAGCATCGAGAGTTGTACCTCGATCATTGTATCTTCTCGATCTATTTGGTGAACTACGATAATTATTGTTTCCATTCCTTCCTTTTGACGATGACCTACGGTTGTTATAAGATGTACTCCTTGAATTTGAACGATCTTTATTGTTAGACCGACGATATTCCTAAAATAAAATTAACATTTTATTTTACGTGTCTTTTTGTCTAAGTGATAGTCGTACTTTATCCGAGTCGAATGATGGAGATCGATGTCTTGGTGAACTATTATATCCTTTTTTTGATTGTTGTGGTGGTTGTTTACGTGGTATTTTGCCAAGATTACTTATTAACTTTGGTCCCGATTGCTCAAGTTTCGATGAATTTTGCTGATCCGATTTGTTTGAATTTAATGGAAACTTTTTTAATGAATTGTTTTGGTTTGATTGTCCAGGTGAAACATTTCCATTTTTAATAGGTGATGATTGTGATTTAATTACTGTTAGTGACGAATTCGTGGATGATAAAGACTCATTTTTTGTCTCAACGTCAGCACGAGAAGAAGGCGATTCTGTCTTTACTAGTGTCATCGAAAAAGTTGACAACGGTTTAACTTGCGTTTTTGTGGTATTAGTAGTTGATGGTAATTGTGCGATATTAGGCTAAAGCGATTATATTTAATTGATATAAAAAATACATCGACATATGTCAAGATTCATAAAAGAAATTCACTCACTTGAGTATTGAGAATATCTGTATTATCAGTTTCTTGTTTCACTGCTATTTCACTCGGTTCAACATTTGTGAGTAATAGTGAGTTGATTGTTGCGTTGTTTTTAGTTGAATTCGGTTTATTGTTTATCATTGGCTTCACGATTGTCTTCTTCTCTTTCTCTTCGTTTGATTGTATAACATTTGGTACGGACGTAGCTTTTACTATTGGTGTGCTACCAGACTTTGTTGAAACATTCTCTACATCTAATTCTTTCGTCACTGTTGTCTGTTTCTTATTTGACACTAGAGCGTTTGTCGACAACGTTTTCTTTAAACTAGTCGATGTTTCCTTCTTTTTCTCATCTTTTTTAATGGAGTCAATCGACTCAGTCGGTGTCAGTAATGATTTTGGTGACAGCAATACTTCTTTTTTAATTTCTGGTTGTGAAATATCGGTACTTGAAACGTGTTTTACTTTAGTAGTCACACGTTGCGATTGTGGTTTATCAGTTGGTTGCTGTAGTAGTGATGGTTTCAACGATGTTGTTTTTTTAATGGTTGATGCTTCTTTGATTATTGATTTCCCTTCATCCTGAACTACTTCTGTTTTAGTAATTGGCATATCTAAAGAAGATAAGAAATGAAGATAGCTACCATAATAATTAATAATCACAAAAAACTGAAAATTTCTTACCGGTCATATCTGTTTTCATTTGGTTCGATAATTTTGTTTTGTTATTTATGGTCGTTAATGTATCATCCGCTATAGTAGTTGAGTTAACTTTTTGTTGTTTTACGCTAGATGTCGATGTTGAAATTTTGTTGTTTGAGTTTGATTTTGAGACGCTTTCATTTTTGGCTATTGTCTCTTTTGATGATACTATAATCGCTTCGGCAACATTATTTGTCGCTGGAGTAATCGCTTTGGGTGGTAATGGTTTTTTTGGTTCTACGATAGCGTTGGATAGTGAATTCATTGTTGTTCGTTGTTTTTTTGTGGTCGATACTGTCGGATCTGGTGAAGTAGAAGAACGTTTCGTTGTTGATGTTATACCAGTTGATGATGTGCATAACTGTTTATTTGATGGAACTTTTATTTTACTATTCGTAGGGATTGATGACTTCGGTGGTTGTAAATGGCTGATAGATGATGATTTACCATAATGACTCGTATTTGAATCAAATGATTTTGTATGTGTGTTGGTATCAGGAGATTCACAGGCAACTGGCTCAACCTCAGATTCATTGCCAGCATCCCGTTTTGGACCATTATCAAGGATTTTCTAAAAAAATAGAAACACATTCTAGTGGAAATACCATTTGATGCATCGGTATAGCATGAGAACTCAAGTTACTATATGTTAGTATTCGGCTCAGTTGTATTATGGGTTATTACAAGTACAGACGTTCAATTCACTTACGACAACAGTCAGGGTACAATGTGACTGTTCTTTCTTTCCACGAGTTGATGATACATCGCCATTATATTTACTCATATGATACTTATGGACCACATAATTTGTTTTTAACTTATCCATTTTTTTGCTATATACACGTTCATTATAGTTGTTATATTATACACATAAACCTAATCAATCACCTTAACCATTATATTGAAGAGGTAAAGAAAGCAATAGATGAGAGAAAAAATATCGAACAACAGAAAAGAATGGAAAAAATGGAAGCAAACGAGAGAAAGCAATAACCGTAACATTGAATAGATTTAAATGATTCATCAAAAAAATTATAGTCTGAATAAACCAGCTGATCCCCTGATTCACATTTTTTTTTCTTGTATGCTCATGCATTTAATGTGTGCTCGCTTGATTCTCGTTATATCAAAAAATATACTCATTTTTAGAAGTAGTAAGTGTATACGGTAGAGACATGCGTTTAGGCAGCAGATGCACAAAGAAAATTAAAAGAAAATGAAAAAGAAAGAGAATGTGAGAAAGAGAGAACTATGCTATTTTAATTAAGACTATACATATAGTCAACAAAATATGATGTGGTGCTAAAATTGCTACCACGCAAACATTTATATAATAGTAGGAAAAATTATTGGCTCATCCAATCTGTCATTTTGTTTTCTATGCCACTATAAAACTAAACAAGCTAGAGGTTTTTTTAGCTTTTGATGTTAATTTATTTTTTTATTAAAAAACAAACAGAACACTTTTGGTTTTTCATGTCGCAGAATTACAGAATTTCAATTACAGTCTTTCATATCGCAGAATTACAAAAAAGTACTTAGCTAAGAAAAAACTTGAATTTAATGATAAAAAATTCTGTCATTTGAAAGCTAAAACTCTTGAGCTATATTTGGTAAAAAATATCTACAATACTAATTTCAACAGTAACCCAATAAGTATAAAACTTGAACTGAAATATAGAATGTCACAGATTTCAGAAAAAGTCAAAATTTCTCAGCAGTGAAACAGCGCGAAGCCCACCATTCGAAAGAGCGTGAATGACTGAATAAGATGAACATAATGTCAAGTGAAAAATTCTCTTTCGAACTTAATTTTCATATAGGTTTTGTGCTCAACTTTATTTGATTATGACCTTTTTAACCTTATTTTCTCACGCAAAGTGTTTTATTTACTCAGGATTGTAGAACGATTAATAAACCATTCTAACCTACTTTTAGAAAGAAAGAACATATGCATCTATTCACTAAACACATTGCGGTTATAAAAATAAAAAAATCAATACAAAGTGACTAAATGAAATGCACATTAATAGTTTGTCTTTATCACATTACAATATCCCACCCAATGTTGACTTTCAAATTGTTCCCACGTCTAACTTTATGTTTCCTCAAATAATCATTCTCTGTCACATAAGTATAACAATTCACTAAATTCAAAAAGATAAGTAGCCAAGAATCGTGCTATTTATCTCTGCTTATCGAAAAATTTTAAAAAAACGAATTTCATTTTGTATCACCCATAAAATTAAGAGTATTTTTCTAAGATGTAAGATGATACTAATTTATTCAACAGTTCAAGTTTGTGTTTCAAACAATCACAAAAATGACGAACGAAAGAGAACGAAGTATTTGACGAGCAAGATTTCAGTGAGATAAGAAAAATATATACATTACATTTGATCCCCCATTATCAGCAAGGAATTCTGAATAGAATATACTCAAAATCATAATGATGAGAGTACACGAGAGAAAAACACTTTATGTTTAACACTTTTTTAGCACGTGAAAATATACTTCAAAGATGACGAACACGATAACTAAGGTCAAGTATTTGAACCTGACCGTTATTCTTTTTCTAACTCAGAAATATCCATATTCATGATCAATGCTATGTTTCTTAGTTAGAAAACAGCGTTTAGAATCAGCTTAGAGATTACCATGCCGGAAAAAAAGTATCAGAACTAAAAACAAAAACGTTTTTGCTTAGATTACTGTCATAAATAAAACGAACATCATTAGAAGAATTTCTCATGAAGATTATGTGCGAGTTTCAGGTTCGAGACGTTTTCAGTTGCAGAGATATGGAACCAATATTAATTTGTTTAAGGCTTTCTAATTTACATTTGTAGTCAGTCGGAGGCTCGATACATTCTGCATCTCCGCAGAGATTAGAAACTGGAGACTCACTAAATCTGCAACCTTTCTGAAAAATGTTGTACTAATGCTTGTACTGTTGAAATTTTCAATAATCTTCCCGGATGATCGTCTGCACTGGCACACGAATTCTGTACCTGTGAGTTCTTAAAAAAATGACCGAAATCCACAAGATGATTCCAGTGTGCTCAAATTTCATTTGATTTGGGGATGATATTTGGTCTTATTCGTCGTATTCCACCTCAAGCACGCTTAAATAAGAAAATATTCTCTGGTAAAATTGCTAGTTCTTACACTCAATGGTGATAACGCATGAAGAAGTAATACAAGTAGAATATAGACGAAACTGGGAAGACTGAAGAAAGAACCTCATCGGCATTCCAGCAAAATACTTTTTAACAATAGCAAGTAAGTACTGAAGAAATTTGGTAAAAACAGAGGATGATAGTATTCTGTAACGCGAAGGGAAAAGTGAAAAAGCCGAGCAAAAGCCATTTTTCATGCATGCATAGCCAAATGTCTTTTGCAGTACAACCAGAATTCTGTTAATGACGGGTTGATCGCCAAATATGATAAAATTCGAAAAATTTGCGAGGGTATAGCTCACCCTGTAAACGTTTAGACTATGCCTTTTTAACTATTATATAGATCATTAATCCCAATTGGGAAACATCATAAAATAGATATCGGAAACTTACTCCTCCTGCAGCCAAAATCTTTTCTTTAAATTCAGGATCGGGATTCTTAAATGTGCATCGATATGTTCTCAGATAAGATCGTTTCTTTGATCCACCATTACTTAAATCATGCAAATCTAAATCATATTCGATTCGAAACTTCTTTGGCTCTTTTTTTGTTTTGAAATAAATATCGATCGGCTAACGAAATAAAAAAGACAAATGTTTATAATAACTAACAATAGTATGGTTATTACCATTGAAAAACCACCGTAACCGGTTTCTCGAATCGCAAACGGTGATGTGCGAATTTCTAAAAAAAAAACAAGAAAGAGTAGTGAAATAATTTGCCAAATCAACAAATGCAAAGAGAGTTGTTTCTTGTTTGTAATAACAACAATAAAGAATAAAACAATACTTAAACGTCCTCCATTCATGGAACAGAGATTTTACCTCTTTTGCTGTTTTGAAACTCCGGATGTAAATAGAATATACATTTTTGTATAAGAGCATTTAAATCTCCATGCACGTCTGTTGATTTAAGATAGCAAACCTTGGAAGAAAAATGTAGTTCACATCGAATGTGACAAGAAACATTTCAGGGCATACCCAGTCGTGAGTGTATCCTTGGCTTGTCACTACATCTCGACCTATTGATCGATGGCCGACGGTAAAATCGATTTCTACAATCTATTTCGATAAAACAAAATATTAAATTTGAACATAGTGATCAAATTTGTACACGTGAATACGAACCTCTGATTGGTCGTCTTCTTCAATTCGGCTCATTAAAAACGGAATAGATTAAGAAATAAAATTTTAGTTTTGCTCTTTCGAAGAGAACGTACGATAACAGTCTAGAATGAAGTACGATACTATAGCGCTCAATATTATTTGATGAATTAGCAGAAGCCTATTCTAAGTCTTGTCAAAACGATAATTTATTTAAATTAGAGTGCTCCATGATCAGATGGAAAAAAGAATCTTACTTTATGCTCTTTCTCTTTTTTTTCAACAAAAACGGTTCATTGATTAAAGTTTTGAGTTTAAAAGTAAATAAAATATGATACACTTTTTTGGATAATCTCCCATTATTATTATTCATCCTACACAGGACGTCAAATAGTGACTATTTTAGTAAATACAACGAAATCTAATCACATTTGATCACATACTGTACCAGTTTACTTCTAGCACTTGTCCTGGAAGAAATAGATCGAAGAAAAAAAAGAAGATATATGAAGAATGAGATCCTCTGACATAGTCCAGAAGGTAAATGAATTGGTGGTAAACTGCGGAGAAGACACCACATCGAATAAAAAAAATGTACCATACGAACTATATGTAAACACTTACACAGTGAAAAACTTTAACTATTCCTAGGCGGCATCTATTTATTACTCTTCATAAGATTATCTAGTTGCTGGCTTAAAACTAAAAGCAGCAAAGAAACATTTGAAAATAGAAAATAAGACTTAAGTCACCTACTGTCCGTTTAAACGAAGAATAACCCATGGTCATTTTTTTAATAGCTTTTGATTGATGAAAGCTAGAGAGCTGGATTTTTCTGACATGGAAAAAGGAGATTACGGAGAATCTGTTTACAAGCGGAAACCTTTTTAGAGATTTTTCAAGAACGAGTTTTTCAATGTTTCCCGAAGCTTCTAGAAAACTCGTGCAAAAAATTTAAAATATCAAACTATTGATTTGTTCACATCAATAAATAGAAGAAAGCGTTGTCTTCAAAATGGGATTCGAGTGATCCCTCTTAACCTTTCGTGGTTGAGGTGTGACATCAGAATTACTGGGACACCCAGGATCGATATTCCCTCAAATGTGGTCATAAAAAATGAATGGAAACATAGGTTATCGGCCATACTGAGTCTCGTGGCAGCATTTGTTTCCCGAGAAACATTCGAAAGTCTAGTGAAAACCTATATTATGTGAAATAGCCTGTTTTGGCCTATTTTCACGTAAAATTAGAAAATTCATAACTCAGTCAGAACCAGTGAGACTACTTCAGAATATCAAGATACTATCTACAAGTCAGCCGGCCGGTTAACACTTTTCATCCACCAGAGTGGATGACTATATGCTTCGACAAAATAAAACCACGGGTGTCTCTTGTGGATGGGATTTCATCAGGACAAGGGAGAAATTTATTTAATCGAGCAAGATTCCTCACTGGAGTTTCGAATAGAGTCTCAGTCATCTATCACAATTATTGATGGTTTCCGAATCAATACAGATGTGCAATAGTAAAGCACTTGACTGACTATTGCGTAACATCACGTACGAAAAGTTTAAAATATCCCAAGAGAAGGATCGCGAGGACGCCATTGTCCACTGGTACTGGTTAATCACGGCATTTATAAATCATAATACGAGCAGTTCCCAGGTGGTTTGTTATGGTTATCATATAGGTCACCGTTTCCAGGCAGAAAATCACTGTAATTTAACCGAATACGGCCGTTTATGTACCGTATTGTTCGACCTAGGTGGTCAACGCTATAACTTTCAAAATTAATGTTTTGTACATAGTCTGTAATAATTTCCACACATTTTCACAAATGATACCGATTGAAAGTTTATTGGAAATTTCTGAAAAAATGTGATATATTTAATCATTTTTGGATCATAAATTTTGAAGTCTTAGAAACTAAAAATGCAATATCAATGAATACGGTCTAACTGTCGTTCCAACGTTATTAAATGTTGGCTATCTATTGCTTAAAGAACAGTAAACAATCTATCTTCGTCAACTATTTTCGTTCACCTATAGTAAATGAGTTCGTTGAAATTTGATGAATGGCTTTAAAAAAATTAGAAAATCTCGTCCATAGCGGACGGAACTGCTTGTTCTAGAAAGTTGTATTAAAGATAAGAAACGCTTCTTGTGCTTCCTTGCCTCAAAATCTTTGGACACATTCGCGGTCAAAAATCCTGCAAGGAGCGCAGAAATTTTTTTAACGACTGTTAGTCTTACTGGAGAATAGTGATTTTCCAAATTAATCGTTTGAACGAATCATCTCGCACTTGCAGTAGATTCTCCTGCAACCCGATCCGAATCTGATCCTTAGATTCACTTCACAGTCAACCTTTTACGACGCCAGGTCAGAATCTAGTTAAAAGTTTCACCTGCATATGATTTTCTCAATTCGAATCATTTTTTTTTGGAATGGCGGATCAGATTCGGATTACTTTTTTTAACTAGAAAAAATTTCTAGTTCTCGGTGGAAGCACATACATGAGAAATGAAAATATATTCACTAACTTCGTAAATATAATTTTTATACACTAATAAATAGAAGAACTGTCTTAGGTTTGAGATCTAATATTCTATAAAATTTTTACTTTTTTCCATGACTAATCGTCAATAGGAGTAAAGATTATATTATTGTTTAATCTCCGCCAATAATCATATCACTCCGCCAATATTTCTCTGTTATATTAATTTATACATCTGTTCCATCGTCTTTGTCCCTTTTGTTCGGTTTTAAACAGAGTCGTAAGTGTCTTTTCAAGCTTCTCTGTTTGATAACATAAACAGATGTTGCCTTTTAACAAAAAATTTATAAACCACACTATTGTGACTTAATGCAATAACTTCATCATATTAATATAAATGAATACTAAACATTCGTTTTTCTTCAAATAACTTTAATTTTAAACGTTTTTTCATCTCTGCTATAGACATGTCTTTCAATATTAAGCATCATATGCTGTAAGTAAAAATCATTACCTCATTCACAAATGGTAGTGATAAAGTATACGGGGAAGCTTTTTAATAAAACTTGAGCGAAAAAAGGGTCATACAGATAGAACCCAATAGTCAAATACGGTGGGCCTTGGAGAGTAGGAAAACAGTAATTAAAAAAGTTTGAAAGTTCAGACATTTCAATATTAGTATATTCTTCAGTTTATATATTATAAGATCTTTCTCATGCTATGCCTAGGTCCAGTAAAAGTTTCCACTACTCAGCTCTCTGTTTCCCTTCCCTAACCAAAAGAAGAAACTTTTTGATTGTGCTGTTTCTAGGATAAGTCGATCACGTTGTAAACGCCCTCAGTATCGATGCGATTCAATTGAGTATTGTCTTTCTCAGTCGCAATTAACATTTTTGATATTATCTCGCTCAAAATCTTCGAAACACGCACATCCCACATTATTTACATTTCCTGGCAACGCTACATTGAAGTTAATTACTAATCATAAAGATTTTATTAAATGTACCGAAAAACAATCGCATGTACAACGGTCTAATGTACCCGAAGCAGAATTAAGTGCTCATTTTGAATTGGATGGTGTAGTATTGGACGAGAATACTCAATTTTCATCAATTGAAAATATTGCAACATTGTTAGTTTTGGTTATTTTACCTTTGAATGATCGACTACATTTTCATAAAACAGAAGAAATAGATCTAAATGTGGCTGCTCTTGAAAAACATCGAAACAAAATTCACCATCGATTACCGCTGGAGAATGGACACAGATTAAAGTCACATAAAATATTTAAATATCCAAACAATAGTCTTGATTTGCTATTTGATACTTTACATGGTCAATTAACTTATTTGACTGGATATTTGAAGAGTCATTTTGTTGAACGACATCAATTTACAACATATCTTATACAGCAGTACAAAGGTGATGACAAGGCCAAAAGAGAATGGAAGGAATGGGAAACAGGAATTTACAAAATGTTAGGCGACGAGGACGGAACGATAAATATTAGTGTTGCTTCAGATTGGTAAGCATTATTAATTGCTAAATGCTTAAGGAATTGTAATCAGAATAGGTCATATCTATTTATTTAGGGGAGCAGGTACTCTTGAGTCGAGTTTAGTAGCCAGTGCAATGATGAACGGTTTAGATACCACAGTACAACAGCAACAAGCAACGCCGAATTTACCACATTACTCAATCCATTTAGGAGACATTTATTATGTTGGATTACCTACTGAAGTTCAACATTGTTGTCTAGGTGTTAAGCCTCATTGGGCCGAACAAGGAGTGTTTTGGCCAATAGGGCAAAACGGTAGTTTTTCCATACCAGGAAATCATGAACTATACAGTGGCGGTTACGGATATTGGGATTATTTTTTACCGAGTAAATATCAATATTTTCTGCTAAATCAAAAATGATCACATTAGAACTCTTCTACGCTCTATTTTTGTTAAGGATTAGGTTTATTTGATCCAAATAATTTAACCAAACCCATTCATTCACAAAAAACATCTTACTGGGTACTAGAAAATGATTATTGGCGTGTAATTGGTTTAGACACTGGCTATGACTCGTATTCACTACTTTCGTTTGATAATTCCGCGATTAGATTGCCTGATGAATTGATGGATTGGCTCAAAAATGTTGTTGGATTAAATCCAGATATGACTGATAAACGAGGATTGTTGTTCTTTTCGCATCATCAGGTTGTGAGTGCTTGGGATCAGAAACCATATACAGGTATGTAGATATTATGCTCGAGATTTTATTAACCATTATGTTTTGCTCACATATTTTTAGCTTTTCCTGAACAATTAGCATCTTTATTACCTGATGGTCGAACTGTGCTCTACCTTTGGGGACATGAACATCGTTTAAGTTTTTACGAAAAACAAACAACTCGACCTATTTCAGACACAAAAAAATCTCTTACATTTTATGGTCGATGCGTAGGCAACTCTGGTTTCCCTACGTTGGCAACAGAATTACCCATTAAAGCCCGAGAAACGTTATTGTTATTTTACGACGACCGCTTGTATAAGGTTGATGGTAAAAATGCTTATATTAACATAGCGTTGGGATTCAATGGATTTGTGTCAATGAAATTTGTTAAGCCGAAAGAGTTCGGTGATACAAGTCTGTTTATTCATTATAAAACACTTAGTTTAAAAAAAGATGGTCATTTAACGGATGAAAATCCGACATTATTAGTTAATGAAGAATGGGGTGTCGATGTTGATGGAAATGTGATGTTAATCAAATTGCAAACGGTCAACGAAGAACTAACGAAATCAGTTCATATTGCTAATAAGAGGAAAGAATTAACACTAACCCAAGATGAGTTTGCTTGCGACAGTTGTACCACGTTGTAAATTTTTATTTTCCATGTGATTGAGTGAATATAATTTAAATATGTTTTGTTAAAACTTCCTTCAAAGTCGGAAAATAGATCTCAATAATGGGTTTATAGGGGGGTTTTAATCTAAATAATCCTGTGTTTCCAAGTCGAATAAATAATGTTGTCAAGTACAAAAAATACTAAACCATGATAAGCATGTCTCCTTATATATTCTTATTTATTGTTAGGTAATATGTCAATCGAGCATGCATACTTAAATATGAGTGTATAGATAATAAGATACAAACCACCTTTATCATAATGAAAGTAACTATTTTCTGTTAGAGACGTTTCGTCTTTATTCAAAAGACATCAGCAGTCGAATGTGACAAACGATAGTTGGTTCAGAAGATAGAAAATAAAAAATAAAATAAAATGCGAGTATGTAGAACAACAAAATAAAATAGACAGAACAAAACGAACTTACGATTTCAACTTTATCTGTACACTACGTGAGGCATCGTCAAACTACTTTGAGGTCAAAGTTTTTTTGTGAATAGATTATTCTTTTGTTCTGTTTTGTGTAGATGTCTGGTCAACAAACTCTCTTTGATAGTTCTTTTTATAAGGTGTCATTCAACTGCAAGAATTTGTGGATTTCAGTTAGTGTGATGACACGTGTCCAAACCATGAACTGGTACCTTAGAAAATCCTGTTCCATAAAAAGCTTCATAATGTTCTTGTTTTCTTATCGTTACTCCTCTTGCTGTCTATCCTATATGTAACAACAACAACTTGCCCTATATAGATTTAACTATATAGGAAGCTTTTTATAGAACAGGATTTTCTAAGGTACCAGTTCATGGTTTGGACACGTGTCATCACACTAACTGAAATCCACAAATTCTTGCAGTTGAATGACACCTTATAAAAAGAACTATC